CCCCCTTCTGATACTAGTTAATTTTGAGTAATTGTATATTGTCAGAAAAGTGATCAGTACTAGTTTTTGTTTTCTTGTTTCAAAAATATTTTTTGTTTTGTTTAAAAGCAAGGCATGCTTGTGATGACTCTGTAACAGACCAATCTGAATTGTTGAGGCTGCTCCCTGGTTCCACTCTGGAGAGTAATCTGGGACAATTTTTTTTTTCTTCTTTCTTATTTTTTTGGGGGAGTGTCTGTGGGGTTTGTTGTTTAGTCTTGTTTTTTAAATTCATGAACCAGTGGACAGCCCTGAAGGGGAGGAGGACGGATCAATTCCACACTCCACTTCCTAGTTCTAGTTTAGAAAACATGTTCCCCACCTGGGGCTCTTAAGAAGGAGTATAGAAAATGCCTCCTTTAATAACATACTCCTTTTTGAAAGTTGCCTTTTCTCTCCGCCCTTGAGTAGTAGATCCAGTGTTTGAGGAAACTCATGAGAGTGGGTGGAGCCTGTCTTGCCCCTCCCCTTTCCTAGGATGCGCGGTACACGTGACTGTGACTTTCGAGGAAATTCGTTTGCCATTTGCTGATTATTTTGGAAGTTAATTTCTAACTTCTTTCACTGGTAAATTAAGAAAAGTATTGCACCTTTTGAAATATACCAAATGGATTGTGTTCGTAATTAAAAGACATTTTTTTTTCCCGTCAAAAATAAATAAATAAGGGAACCAGCAGTTAGAGTAATGGCTATGTCGCTGGACTCCCACGTAGTCGACCGTGGTTCGCGTCCCGGACCCGGTGGCTTAGACTCACGCCGGGCACTTGTGCGTGCGTGCCCAAGATCCCAGAGGAGAATGGAGAAGGGATTGGGGCGTGATCATCCCCCCTGGGGGGTGATTTCTCGCTTTCTGTCTCTATGTCTCTGTCTGTACCTTAAGGTCTGGATTTCTAAAAATATTAGAAAGACAGAAAAATAACTCCAAAAATAAATAAATAAATAAATAAAAAGAAAACATGAGAAATAGAAAAGCAGAAATATATCTGCCAGAGACAACTACTTTTGACACTTACTGTGTTTGCTGTATAGTGTAAATGCACATATACACACACATATAGATACATTATGAGCATATACGTATAATTTCTCATAGCTAAAGCCTTGAATTGCCAGTAAATTCTACTTGGATCACAGACATTGCAATGAAAATTTTTTTTGAATACTTGAGATTACTAATTTAAGGATGTTTCCTCCAGTACATCCAAAAAGTAGTTTCTTGGTGGTTGCTTTTAGAAGCTTTTTTTTTTTAACTTAAATAACTATTTAATGTTATTTATGGTTGGCTGTAACCACCATGCCGCCGACTGTTCCTTTTTATTTTAGTTTTTGTGTTAGGGTGTGTGCGCTTGCTGGAGAGAGACAGAGAGAGACATACCCCAGGGGGTATGATCACACCCCAGCCCCTTCTTCTCCATTTTCCTCTTGGGATTTTGGGTATGCATGCACGTGTGCCCTGCATTATTTTTCAAGCTGCTGTGTCCAGGGTTGACTATGTAGGAGTCCAGTGTCTTAACCAGCATGCCACCTGTTGGCCCCCTCGGCTGTGAGGAGTTTTAACACCCTCGGCCATAGCAGCTCCCACTCTCTCCCTCCCATTTTTCTACTAGGGGGAACAAGGAATTCCTTTCCTGCTCTAACCTACCTCTCTAGCCCTTGCTGTGGGAAAACATGTGTCTCCATCACTTGATTTGATATGTGCACCAGTCTTCAATAGACTGCAAGTGGGACCAGCAGATGGCATAATGGTTACGTTGCTGGATTCACATGTAGTTAACTGCTGTTCAAGTCCTGGACCCGGCGGCTTAAAACTCACACTGGGCGCGTGTGCGTGCCCAAGATCCCAGGAGGCGAGGGGAGGAGAAGGGATTGTAGTGTGGCCATCCCTCCTGGGGGGTGATTTCTCGCTTTCTGTCTCTCTGTCTCTCTCTTTCTGGTGAGCACGTGCGCCCTATAGCAAAAATCTCTTAAAAAAATTAGACTATAAGTAAATTTAGGACCCGACTTTTTTTTTTAAATTTCTTTCTTTTTTCCTTTCTTTCTTTTTCTTTCTTTCTTTCTTCCTTTCTTTCTTTTCTTTTTCTTTTCCTTTTTTTTGGCTATAGGGCATGTGCTTTTGCCAGAGATAGAGATAAAGAGATAGAGAAAGTGAGAATCGCT